GGCTCGTTAACACCCTTAAGTGAAAACCCTAAGAACTGACAATGGGCCAGAGTTCTATAACACAGAATTTGATAGATTTTGTAGTGAACAAGGCATTCTAAGGCCTAGAACAGTAAGAAAAACTCCTCAGCAAAATGGGGTTGTTGAGAAGATGAATCGAACCCTCCTAGAAAAGGTAAGATGCTTGTTATTTACCTCAGGACTACCAAATACTTTTTGGGGAGAGGCCCTGGCCACTGCAGCCTACCTGATAAACAGAAGTCCATCCACAACTATAAATTTTAAATGCCCCAAAGAGGTGTGGGTTGGAAGGAGGCCCGATCTAGGCCACCTAAAAGTGTTTGGGTATGCTGCCTATGCACACACAATAAGAGGGAAGTTAGAGCCTAGGTCTACAAAGTGTGTGTTCTTGGGGTATCAAGAAGGGATGAAGGGATATAGACTTTGGGATAGACAGCCACCAGAGGTAAAAATCATCATAAGTAGGGATGTAGTGTTTAATGAATGGGTTTTCCCTTGCAAAGCTACTAACCATGATGCAGGCAGCCACAATACCTCTGAAAATACAAATCACTCAACTGAGACTACATCAATTGAGGTGGAGCCTATGGATCAGCAAGTTGAACCACCTCAACATGAAGATGAACAGGCCGCAGAAACTTAACCTGGACCCAATGGTCTTGAACCAAAAGATGAAGAAGCTGCAACAAGATCAATTGGAGCATTATCAACTTGCAAAGGATAAAATAAGGAGAGAGGTAAGGCCCCCTGCCAGATTCTCATATGTTGAACTACTTTTTACTGCTTTACTTGCAGGAACAGAGGTGTAAAAGACAGAACCTGACTTATATAAAGAAGCTATGAGCTCTAAGGAGAAGGACAAATGGAGGGCAACAATGGAAGAGGAAATGAGGTCACTTGAGGTAAACGAAACTTGGTCCTTGGTTCCTAAATCAAAGGACCAGAAGCTGATCCAATGTAAATGATTGTTTAAAACAAAAGATGGTGTTTTAGCTACCGACCCACCTAGGTACAAAGCTAGGTTAGTTGCTAAGGGGTACACCCAATGCGAGGGATTGACTTCAATGAAGTTTTTCCCCCGTAGTCAAGTATAAGACCATTAGACTAATGCTTTCCATAGTTGCCCATCATAACCTAGAGTTAGAACAAATGGATGTGACCACTGCCTTCTTGCATGGAAATTTAGAAGAGGAAATTTACATGGGTCAACCAATAGGTTTTGTAGACTATAGAGTCCCTGACCATGTTTTCATCTTGAATAAATCTTTATATGGGCTGAAATGGTCCCCTAGGTAGTGGTACAAGAGGTTTGACACATTCATTTTGAGCATAGGGTTCACTAGGAGTAGATATGATAGCTGTTTTTATTTTACTTCGAACGAGAACATGCCTATATATCTATTACTGTATGTGGATGATATGTTGCCAGTTAGTAAGTCCAAGTCAAAGATACTTGAGCTAAAGAGCAAGCTCAAGGGTGAATTTGACGACCTAGGAAATGCCAAGAGAATTCTAGGAATGGACATAACTAGAAATAGGAGCAAATGTGAGTTGAAAATTAGGCAACAAACATACCTTAGCGAATTGGTATCTAAGTTTGGAATGGCAGATTCCAAACTGGTTTCTATGCCTTTTGCAAACCATTTTGTACTAAATAAAGGTCAATGCGCAAAGACTGAAGTAGAATTAATAAAAATGGAATCTGTCCCCTATGCTAATGTAGTTGGATCTGTGATGTATGCGATGATAAGCACTAGACCAGATTTGTCATTTGCTATTTCTTTGTTGAGCCGATTTATGGCTAGTCCTGGCAGTGAACACTAGACTGCCTTAAAGTGGGTATTGAGGTATATCAATAGTTCTTTGAATGTTGGGTTAGAGTTTTGTAAAATGCATGCTTCACTTGACTTGGTTGACTTTGTGGATTCGGATTTCGCAGGTGACAAAGATACAAGAAAGTCTACTATTGCATATTACTTCACTCTCAGTGGAAATTGTATAAGCTAGAAGTCTTAGCTTCAACCTATTGTGGCACTCTCATCGACTGAAGTTGAGTATATTGCCATTGCAGATGTGTTCAAGGAAGCCCTTTGGCTGCAAGGTTTATTGGCTGAATCAAAGTTGACAGAGGGAAAGGTAATCATAAACTTTGACATCCAAAGCACAATCCATTTAAGCAAAATCCAGTTTATCATGAGAGGACAAAGCATGTAGATGTCCGTTTTCACTTTGTTAGAGATTTAGTCACTCAAGGAGTGATTGACTTGAGGAAAGTGTCCACTGAAGATAATCCAGCTAACATGGGAACAAAGATTGTCTCCCCTGCCAAGTTCAAGGACTGCTTGGACTTATTGCACACGAAGTAAGCAGTAAGGGCAGGAGCTACTGCACCAGAAGAGTTTTTTGCATTCAAGGTGGGGATTGTTGAAGTGAATGCAAAAACGTCGTTGGTTTTGAAGGATTAAGTGAAACACCACTGTTTGGATCAGCTTAGAGTTGGATCCTGACCGTTGATTCAACACCAATCTAACGGCTGAGATTCATGCTTCAAGTCAACGATATAAAAGCACAACAAATTTCAGAAACACCCTTCAGTCCTCACTCGAAGCATTCTCATCTGTTTTTGTTCATTGTTAGGGTTTGCAAATTCTGATATGAAATTGAGTGTAACTTGTGTGATTCTTGAGTGGTTTGTGTTAATCATTCGGAGAAGAGTGGGATAGCTCTTGTTCTAGGGATTCCATGGGTTCGAGTCTCCTTAGAGTTAGGTTACGGGTTGTATTTCAGGTCGTTGAGAGGAGGATCTTGAGCTTGTTCTTGAATAGGGCTGTAAATCTTTGAATCCTTACTAATAGTAGTGCAGCGAGCTCCCCATTTCTAGAGCTCAACGTGGATGTAGCTTGCTCAAACATAGAGCAAGTGAACCACAGTAAATCTTGGTGCTTGGTGTGATTGTTTCTTTGATTGTTGTGTATGTTTGTTCTTGATTGGTTTCGGATTATAGCATAGCAGAGAGTTATAACAAGATTCTCTTTTTTCAAATGCTGGCTTGCTGGCAATGTGCTAGTTGTTTATAATATATACATATTTGCAGAAACTATCAAAGAAACTACACCCGTTTGAACATAATTTTATATTAAATATCACCAAAATAATGTTATGATCAGTTGACTAATGTTTCTCAACATTATATTAGGATTACACTTTCACACCGGCTCATCCACATTGGTTATATAAATTCCTAAAGGTTACATTTCTCTATACGACTTTTTTTTTTTTTTTTTTTCAAACAATCATAAGTGCATTAACAGGAATATTTTCCTCCACAAAATAATTCTCCTGTATAAAGTCATTATACATATAAGTAGTTAGTTACTTCTGTAGTTCCTTCTGATATATAAATTTTTTCTATGCTAATTATCATGTGATTATTAGGCATAATCTTAATAAAATTTATAGTAAAACGTCTTGATTAGAAAAAAATTTTGTTTTGTGTATGTATAAATACTATCGGATTTATTCGTAAAATATTATTTCAATCAAATGATGACAAATCTAATTGTATTTAAGCAGAATCCTGATAAAACAAATATCATAACGTCTTGATTAGGGAGTTACTCTTACACAGAAATTTAAATATTTTATTCTCACTTTATTAACCATGCAGAGAATAAATAGTAAAACTAGCAAATACAAATTTTTATTGCTCCTAATAGAAGACTTTTCTTCATCTCTATACAACTAGAAGGGTAAAAAAAAAAAAAAAAAAAAGGTAAAGCCTTGATAAGGTTGTGTATGATATTAATTTTAAATATGTTTTTGAAAATAAATTTATGAAATGAAAATTTTTTTTGTAATTTTTTTTTTAAATGTAAATTCAGGAAAGATTTAGAGAATATAAGGCGGTAAGGGAAGAGATGACAATTTTCTTTGGGAATTTTCTTCTTATATATATATATATTTATTTATTTATTTTTTTCCATTTTCCAAAATAGTTTTAATTAAACTCTCACTCTCAAAACAAGATTTTTTTTGTTTTTATTGAACTGGATCGCATTTTATTGTAAAAACCATCTTATGACAGTTGCTCAGATTAAACTAAAAGATCAAATCCAGGCAATTATACACGAAAAAAAGAAAAAAAAAAAAATTATTATCATAAGATATATAATTCTACCCATTTGATTATTTATTTCACCGACTCTTCACCAATCTTTAGACAGACGATTTTACTCTAAAATATTATCAAATATTGGCTCCTAAAATAATATTATTTGTAACCAACTTGTAAGATATTGAGCTTATGTTTATAGATGTTATGTCCAAATAAACAAGCTTCAATTTTGGACAAAAAAGTTTATATTATATTATATATTATATATATATAATTCTACTTTCTGATATAAATTTTGTTAAAACTATACATGTTTAATCACTGTATAATTATTGAACTAAAAGATCAAATCCTAATAATTATACATGACAAAAATGAAGTATTCTCATAGTTGAAAAAAAGAATTATATTTCTACTCCATTTGATTATTTATATCACCGGCACTTCACCAACATTTATAGCACGATTTTACTCTAAAATTGTTATCAACTATTGGCACCTAAAATAATATTATTCCAAACCAATTTGCCAGAATTTGAGCTTATATCTATAGATATTATTCCCAAATAAACATGCTTCAAATTTGACTTCATATTATTTGTGTCTAAACAACTCCATCTTTGACTTGTTTATGCCATTTTATACATAAAAAAAAAAAAAAAGATCAATACTTAGTGGGAGAACACTAATGTCATTTAAAAAAGAATTAAAAATACAGTTTGAAATTTGGAGACAAAGATTATAAATTAAGTTTTGATCCAGGCTGTTATGCTCATTAAAAAAAAAAAAATATTCAAAAGATGATTGGAGAGATTGCTATATAAGGAGGAGCATATATGTTTATGATCATTCAAGTCACAAAACAATAAGAGTTCAATTGTGGAAATGGGAACTCTTGGGCAGGGGGGGCATTGGCCCCAATTGGTTTTTGCTTGTGCAATTCTCTTCATCGCAAACAATGTGGTGGCATATGCTCCTTACATTTATAGCTCTCCTCCACCACCTACGTATACGCCTTATGTGTACAAGTCTCCACCGCCACCTAAGCATGTGAGTCATCCGGCTTATTACTATAAGTCGCCCCCGCCACCAAAATATACACCTTACAAGTCTAATTCTCCACCACCACCGAAACATGTGGAGAAACCATCATACTTCTACAAGTCGCCTCCACCGCCAAAGAGTAATAGTCATCCAAAATACAATTACAAATCTCCACCACCACCACAAAAGCATACACCATATGTCTACAAGTCCCCTCCGCCAAAACACATTGAACATCCACCATACCATTACAAATCTCCACCCCCACCATCCCCTTCACCACCACCTCCATACGTCTACAAGTCCCCACCTCCACCATCCCCTTCACCACCACCTCCATACGTCTACAAGTCTCCTCCTCCACCAAAGAAAATTGAACATCCTCCACACCATTACAAATCTCCACCCCCACCCCCACCGTCTCCTTCTCCGCCACCCCCATACGTCTACAAGTCTCCACCTCCACCATCCCCTTCACCACCACCTCCATACGTCTACAAGTCTCCACCTCCGCCATCCCCTTCACCACCACCTCCATACGTCTACAAGTCTCCTCCTCCACCAAAGAAAATTGAACATCCACCATACCATTACAAATCTCCACCCCCACCCTCTCCTTCTCCACCACCTCCATACGTCTACAAGTCCCCACCTCCACCATCCCCTTCATCACCACCTCCATACATCTACAAATCCCCTCCCCCACCATCTCCTTCACCACCTCCTCCTTACATCTACAAATCGCCTCCATCACCAACCAAAAAAGTTCTACCATGGCACCCAAAGTACATCTATAAACCACCCCCACCTCCAGCACACTACTAAGTTGACGTCAAATTCATGAAGTTGTTACAAGAATAATTTCTTTTTTCCTTTTTGATGCTATGTATGATGGTTATTGGCATTGCTTTTTTGAATAAGAAGAGTTTAAATTGCAAATTCATTTGTAAGAAGCACTCTAATTGTATCTAAAATTTTTTAATTAATGAAGTTTTTGATATTTCGTAATTGTTGCTTGATCCCTAGAAGCATGTTTTATTTTTCGAGTTGTTGTAGATTTTCGCAAGTGTACGAAATCGTGCAAGTAATAAAGTGTATAAAATACGGATATCGAACCCAAGGGAATTACTATTATCAATTACCAATTAAACTATCTTATTACTATTTGATCAATCCAAATTTTATCAAGGAAAACCTAAATTAAATAAACAATTGAATTTAAAAAGAAAACTGAAAAGAGAACAATTAAAATAAACCTTTGGGTAAAAACACGATGACTAGACCTAGGGCATAGACTTCACACCAACTCTTATTCATATGTATCGATCTCTTATGCTAATTTTATTAAGTTCTTCCTATAGGTCAAACTCCCTAAATTTTCAATAACTTTCTCTCGAATAATTATCAAATTAACCCCTAATTACTAACCCGAATTATCTCTAATCAGATTTAAGCAATTGAGGATCATTACGCTCTATGGAGTTTACCAAAACCTCACAAGTCACGGTAACCTATCTCTAGCGATCGCTCAACCTATGGTTTTACTATCGTAGACCAACTAAGTATCATCTCTTGATCTCAACTTAGTCCATTAGTTCATTCAATTCTTGGGCCCTTAAGAATCAAAAGCATTAGGAATAATAGTAAAACTTAGGAAGAATTCTAAATAAAAATTAACAATAAAAAATCAATACATAATTAAGAGATTGGGCTACATCTTAGCCCTAGAGAATAAAATTAGTTCATAATAAACATGAAAGAAACAATAATATTTATTAAAACATTCATCATGAGTTTACAAGAAAAGAACAAGGAAAGCTTCTCTATATTGTGAATCAAAGCTCTAGAACTTCTATTACTTCTCTTCTCTGCAGATTTTTCTCCCTTTCTTCTCACCCAAGAATCCCCAAAATAATGTTAAAAGACCTCCTTTTATATCCCACAAAGGTTAGGGCTTTATTTCCTTCAATTCTATTAGGGATAGGACTCTTAACCTTAGCTTTCTTCCTAAAAACGGAGAGGCGTTTTTAAAGTTTCGTGACTGTGCCGCGGCACAGTAGCTACTGGAAAAAGTGTGCCGCGGCACAGTAGCTGATGGCCTTCTTCCCTGAAGATTCTTGAACTAATTTGAGAAGAAGTGAACGAAAATCAGAAGAAAATAGAAAAGAGGGCTAAGCGTGAGCTGTAGCTAAAGAAATGAATGAAAAGTGTGACTTAATCTGTTTTAACAATCGCGTTTTTGTTACAATTAAAACTGAAACTGTAACTAACAGTAACAGCCTCTTATATAGAGACTGGAACACTTACAAAAACACACCGTTTTTTACTACTTACAATCTTTACAAAACACACCCCAAGGATACTTACAAACTTTACAGAAAACACCCTTCTTGCTTTTTTTATTCCTAATATTCCCCCTTAAACTAAACTGTCCCAGACACTTGTCACATAGCTACTCATTCTTGTGTTCAATATTCCCCCATAGACCACACGGTCAATGGATGCTCCAGCAAAGGAAACTTTCTTCTGTCACATAGTTGCTCATTTTTGTGTTCAATTTCCCCATAAACCACAGGATCAATGGATGCTCCAGCAAAGAAAACTTTCTTCAATCATACACACACCAGAAACATGTAACAATAGTCATTTCAATATCAATTTTATCAGCATTCTGTCAACATTTCAGCAACAAAACTCAACTTTCTTTAGTCATACACACACCAGAAAACTTCCTTCAGTCATACACACACCAGAAACATGTAACAATAATCATTTCAACATCAATTTTATAAGCATTCTGTCAACGTTTCAGCAATAAAACTCAACATTCTGCTCATCTAGCGACTGACAATATTTCAGCAACAAATCTCAACATTCTGTTCACCCAGCAACAGACAACATTTCAGCAACAAAAGTCTCAACATACTGCTCATCCAGCAACAAAACTCAACTCAACATTCTACTCATCTAGCAACAGAACAAAAAATACATAAACAAACTCAACACTTTATCCTTCCAACATACTACATAATCTCAAATCAGATTATCCAGACCACCAAAGCATATCAGCCACAAAATAAACACTCTGATCATCCTTCCAACATTTTACATAACCTCAAGTCAGATTATCCAGACCACCAAGGCATACCAGCCACATAATAAACACTCTGATCATCCAACACTGAACATTCAGCAATATTAACACACATCAGCAGTAGAATATAAAAGGCAAACACTGAGCAAGACAAAACACTAAGCAAATATTACTCAGAAGCACCAATACTCATTAGTAACAGAGGAAATGAAACAAAACCAATATTACTCAGGTAGCACAGAAGTCACAGTGAGTTTTTCTTTCAAATAAGTGAACTGATTGCAGGGAAGAGCTTTAGTTAAAATATCTGCCACCTGATATTCGGAAGCCACATATTGAACACTCACTTGCTTCTTTGCCACCAGATCTCTAACATAATGCACATCAATTTTGACGTGCTTGGTCCTAGCATGAAAAACAAGATTCGAAGACAAAGCTCCAGCACTCATGTTGTCACACCAAATAACTGGACAACCATTTACCAAGATACCTATCTCTTCAAATAAATTTCGAATCCACACAAGTTCTGTAGATGCTGTACTTAAAGACCTGTATTCTACTTCTGTAGATGATAAAGATACTATTTTCTGCTTCTTTGAACTCCACTGGACCAGATTACCTCCAATGAACACAGCATACCCACTAGTAGACCTTCTATCATCCATATCACTGGCCCAATCTGCATCAGCAATGCTTCCACCAAAAAATGCTGCTTCTTAGTAAACAAAAGACCATGATTTAGAGTGCCTTTTATATACCGAAGCACTCTCTTGCAGGCTGTATAGTGATTAACAGTAGGTTGTTGTAAAAACTGACTTAACTTGTTCACAGCAAAGGAAAGATCAGGTCTGGATAAAGTTAGGTACTGCAGGCCCCCAATGATGCTTCTAAACAATGAAGGCTGATAAAAAACAGCACTATCTTCCTTTCCCAATCGAACTCCAGTAGCCATAGGTGTATTGCAGGGCTTTGATTCATACATATCAGCCTTAACTAATAATTCTTGAGCATATTTGCTTTGTGTCAACAACACTCCCTTGCTATTTCTATGGACTTCAAAACCAAGAAAATAGTTCACAGGACCAAGTGTTTTTAAGGCAAAATTTTTGTTCAAATCAGTCACCACTTCATCAATCAGTTTCTTATTGTTACCAGTCACCAAAATATCATCTACATAGACTAGTAAGTAAACTATATGAGAATCCTTTTTATAAAAAAAACAGACTAATATCAGAAATAGAGTTCTGAAATCCCCAGCAAAGAAGAGCAGTTTTAACTTCTCAAACCAGGCTCTTGGAGCCTGTTTAAGGCCATATAAGGCCTTATGTAGTTGGCACACCTGTTTAGGCTGAGAGAAATCAGTAAAGCCTTCTGGTGGAGTCATAAACACTTGTTCAGTCAACTCTCCATTAAGAAACGCATTGTTGACATCTAGTTGCTACACTTCCCATTCATTATAAACAGCCAAAGATAAAATAATCTGAATAGTTGCTACTTTAACTACAGGAGAGAAGGTCTCAAAATAATTAAGGCCAGGGGTTTGTTGAAACCCCTTAGCCACAAGCCTAGCCTTATATTTGGATAGTGAACCATCCGAGTGGAGTTTAGTTTTAAAAACCCACTTACTACCAACAACATTCATTCTAGCTTCATAGGGTACAAGAGTCCAGGTTTGATTTTTCAACAAAGCTTGATATTCAGCCTCCAGGGCTTCTTTCCACTCAGGAGTTTGTAAGGCTTCTATAATGGATTTTGGTTCAGGTAAGATAGTGTTGGTAGATAGAAGAGCTTGGGGTGGATGAGTGAGACCACAACTTTTAGACCTGGTAATCATTGGATGGATATTTTCAATTCTGACAGAAGGTTGAACAGAGGCTGTAGAGGGTGCTATGGGAAGTACAACTTCAAGGTGAATTCCAGGATTGTGTGTGCCTGTGGCTGGTACTTCAGAGATACCTATGGGAGAGGATAAATGATGAGAATCAGCATCAGGAAAAGCTTCTTTTGGAGAATAAAAACTGCAGTCCTGAACAGGTGGTGTAATAGAATCTGTGGGTCTGAGAGAGTCATTCTGACATATAACAGAATCTGAAAGTGAGTCCTTAGATAATGAGGATGGTTGTGGAAGAGGCCATGATTGAGAAATGAGATTGAAACCAAAAGATTCAGAAGTGGAAGGGGCAGATTCTGCATAATGAAATCCTGTTCTGAATGGAAAATCTGTCTCCAAAAATTTTACTTGTTTCACTATAAACACTTGGCCAGAAACATTCATACATCTGTACCCTTTATGATCAAGACTGTATCCTAAGAACACACACTTCTCAGTGTGGAAAGATAGCTTATGTTTTTGGTAGGGTCGAAGAAATGGATAACAGGAGCATCCAAACACCTTCAAATCTGTATATTTTGGTGATTGTTTGAATAATGTTTCATAGGGTGACAGAAACTCTATAGCAGCTGAAGGAAGCCTATTGAGAAGATAAACTGCTATGCTAAATGCAGACCACCAAAATTTCAGGGGCATGGCAGCATGAGCAAGTAAAGACAGTCCAAATTCAGTAATAGCCCTATGTTTTCTTTCCACTCTCCCATTTTGTTGATGAAGATATGGACAAGGATGTCTAAACTTAATACCATGTTTTTGTAAATAACTAGAAAAAGATCTGAATTCTCCTCCTCAATCTGTTTGCAAACACTTCATTTTTGCGTCTAGTTGTTTCTCAACAAAACAGTGAAACTGAAGAAACACATTAAATGCTTCTGATTTTAGCTTTAAGGGATAAATCCAAGTGTATCTACTAAAATCGTCTAAAAAAATAATGTAGTATCTATAACCTTCTGTGGATAGAATAGGAGCAGGCCCCCATAAGTCAGAATAGACTATTTCTAATGGTCTAAGAGCCCTAGAAGTAGAAACTGGAAACTGACACTGCTGTAGCTTT